ATTATTTCTCCTTCCCAGCCTGCTAAATTTGCAGTTTCCAGAAAATTGCTCCAGCTGCACTTTCAATATTGACAGTGTCGAACGCGAAGAGCTCGGCACAACTTCGACATTGAACACTTTTATTTTGCTCGTAACAACTAATCAATCGGCAGGTTTATAGTGTTTTTGTGCCCGAAACAGTGTCTTGCGCAAAGTGTTGGGCACAACATCGACATTAAACACTCTCTCTAATGCGACTGTTGTGCCGAGCCCTTCTGGCACAACACTTATTTTTTCGCAAAAACTGATCAATCGCCAGGCTTAGAATGTTTCGAGCTCGAAATAGTGTCGTACCGCAAGGGCACGGCACAACTTCGACATTAAACACTTTCTGTAATGTCGAAGTTGTGCCCAACTCTTTCAGTCCGAAATAGTGTCATACCCAAAGGGCTCGGCACAACCTCGACATTAAACACTTTCATTAAACATTTTAAGTTCGAAAGTGTCGTGCACGAAGGCCTCGGCACAACAATCCCATTAGAGTGTTTAATGTCGAAGTTGTGCCGAGCCCTTCGGATACGACACTGTTTCGAACCCAAAACACTGTAAACCTGACTATTGATTAGTTTTTGCAAAAAAATTAGACACAACAATCGCATTGGATCAGTGTTTAAAGTACACGATCGAGCGAAGTCGTACCCAAAGGGCTCGGCACAACTTCCACATTGAACCCTTTTTGATTTTCTTCGTAAAAACTAATCAATCGGTAGGTTTAAAGTGATTTTAAGTTCGAAAGAGTGTCGTACCCGAGGGGCTCGGCACAACTTGGACATTAAACACTCTCTAATGCGATTGTTGTGCCAAGCCCTTCGGGTACGACACTGATTTTTTCGAAAAAACTAATCAATCGGCAGGTTTAGAGTGTTCAGTCCGAAATAGTGTCGTACCCAAAGGGCTTGGCACAACTTCGACATTGAACCCTTTTTGATTTTCTTCGCAAAAACTAATCAGTCGGTAGGTTTAAGGTGATTTTAAGTTCGAAAGAGTGTCGTACCCGAAGGGCTCGGCACAACTTCGACATTAAACACTCTCTGATGCGATTATTGTGTCAAGCCCTTCGGGTACGACACTCTTTCGAACTTAAAATCACTGCCTGGAGTGTTTTGGGTTCGAAACAACTGATTTTTCGAAAAAACTAATCAATCGGCAGGTTCAGAGTGTTCAGTCCGAAATAGTGTCGTACCCAAAGGGCTCGGCACAACTTTGACATTGCACCCTTTTTGATTTTCATCGTAAAAACTAATCAGTCGGTAGGTTTAAGGTGATTTTAAGTTCGAAAGAGTGTCGCACCCGAGGGGCTCGGCACAACTTGGACATTAAACACTCTCTAATGCGATTGTTGTGCCGAGCCCTTCGGGTACGACACTGATTTTTTCGAAAAAACTAATCAATCGGCAAGTTTAGAGTGTTCAGTCCGAAATAGTGTCGTACCCAAAGGGCTCGGCACAACTTCGACATTGAACCCTTTTTGATTTTCTTCGCAAAAACTAATCAGTCGGTAGGTTTAAGGTGATTTTAAGTTCGAAAGAGTGTCGTATCCGAAGGGCACGGCACAACTGCGACATTAAACACTTTCTCTAATGCGATCGTTGTGCCGAGCCCTTCGGGCACGACACTGATTTTTGTCGTTAAAACTGCAAGAACTGATTAATGATAATTGGCAAAAAGTCAAATTTACTTGTTTGTTAGGAACGCCAGACGCCTACGCTTAGCACGCAAAATTGCATCTCCATAGAATGCATTCGATCACATTCTGTCATTTTCCTCAAAAACATTGCGTTTAACGTAAAATATGCAAGAGATAGTAAAATATGCAAGTTTCTAAATTAAATAGGCTTCCCAAAATTCGAGTAAATTTGTTTTCAATAAAAATACTGTGGAAGTTTTGGGGGTCCAAAGGCAAACGACTTAAATTGCCGAAATACTGTTAGTTTCCAAGAGAAATGAAAGAGAATATGAAGAAAATGCTGAGAAATAAGTAAAGTTTAAATTAACGGTCCCGCAACATCATTTCCATCCAAACCGGTTTCAAATTTTCTCTCAAGAGCTTTAAAAACAGGAAAAAAACATCTAATCTAACATCCTACATACATAACATATACGAGCTTAAGCTAAGCTAAAGCTGATTGAAAAGCTCGGCAAAGTACGCAAGTAGGTCGGGTTTAATTTGATGGAACATTTCAGATTAATAATTGATCAACCATGCCCTTAAGCCACCGTATTTATCTATTCATTCCACTCAGTTCTTGTTCTTATACGTGATTTTCACCGTCCAGATGAAAATCAGCGCCACTTTCTCAGCTTCATTATTCCCCAGTTTCAATGCGAATTCCTTTTTTTCCCATTGGCAAATAAAAATTAGTCTCTATTTAACCGACCTTATGAAACAGTTCATTGAAAAGGTTTTTAAGCCTGGAGAATGGTGGGTTTATGCAAATAGCTGCCTTATTGTATTTACCAGAAGCAAACATGGATCAGTAGCTACTTGAAATCGAGTGGCTGTTGTGTACATGTTCATTAAAACCGTCAATGAACATCATGGGCCAAACACTCGCTTTTTATTTTAACGAAAAATGCTTTGTTGTGTTTGTGTGTGTTCATTCATTCATAATGGAGCGGCTTACTAATTTTAGAAGCCCACAGGCCATTAGTTAATTATCCAACTCCGTTACGATTAACATAAAACAAAACGCACCACTGGGAAAACGACCGTCCTGCTTAAAAAAACCACTTTCATTATTGAGTCATTTTTTTTAAATAGGCATTAGGGCGTGTTTAGGTCGAATCGCCATTATGCCTGAAAAACACTCATCATTGTGCGTTTTCATTGGTTTTTGGCCATTCGATCAGTCTAAAGCCAGAACTAGTTCATACGGAAAAGCGCGTTTTCATTCAGGATATTTTGGGGTCATTCGACCCGTTTTTATATGGCAATGATAAATCGGAACGCTGATATTTTGATTTATTGCCAAAGTGTTAGCGGTTTGGACCTTCGTAGGTCTCGTATGTCTGGGTCATGGGCTTTATAAGAGACCCTCAATCCCGATAGCTTTAAAGGCAGCCGAAAATATAGAACATTTTATAAACCACAAACAATTAAGTTTACAGATAGAATATTTTTTGGAAACCGATATGGGTTTTTTCCTGCTACAACCTTATTGACATACCCATGCAGCAATAAAATGTTAATAAACCAAGCACGCAATCACCGTTCGTATGTAAACAAGGCTAAACCTCCTATAGACGAGTGGAATGTTGAATACGAAAAACAGTGCCAGGCACAGTAACTTTCTGAAAATGCGAACATTAACATGAATTAAATTTGAAAGCGGCCCTCGTAACGCGGCCATGTGTGACACGACAAGTGTTTGCATGCTGATCGCCCCTATCACTCGCTCTCTCTTTCACACAGGGGCGAAAGGCGCAGACCTAACTCGGCTCGTTTTGAACGGATTAATCGAGCTACGAGGGGCAATCGACAATTATTGAGTACTGATAAAAAAACTACATTGACTTTCAATTGCAGGCAATATTAGTGCGGTATTCATCTACCAGTGGAAAGGCGAGGAATTGGTAAATCTATCCCAAAACGACTCCAACGTCTACGTTCACATCACCATAGCGGGGCATTCAGGCTCAAAATCGGCAAACATTAACAGGTAAGTTGTTTTCCTTTTGGAAAAGCTTTCACTGAGCCAAAAATAGACAGCGCAGAGAAAGCGGGTGCAAATATAATCTGCTTCTTTGTTTGGTCTAAATAATTATGCAATGCATTACCACTAGTAGTTCAAGCCTTGGATCTGCGATTGTTTAACAAACATTGCGATGGACCGGAATCGGCTTGCGCTTAAAGCCTACGCTCGTTGAATATCGATCGTAAATGTTGAATAATAATGGAAAATTTGAAACAATGGCTGAGAGTTTTGTCGTTTTTTACTATTTTGAAGAAAACAAGCTTGGTGCTTCTGATAGAGAATCGATTCGAATGGAGTGGGACAAAGGATGGAGCTACTGTGGGTTAAATCAGCTTAACGTATGTGCATATAAAAGGTCCTTATGAAGGATTGCAACGGATAAAAATGGTTGCATTTCGTTCGCAAATACGTACAATCTCGCGGAAAAATTGTGGGTTTTAAGCATAAAGGGGAATCGTGGGTAGATCTTAGATTCGGCTGCCGATAAGCAGTTTGTTTCAAATTGTTGTCGATTGTTGTATTGTTGATTGTTGTATTTGTTCGAACCTTTGCTTTCATCTTTCCTATCTTATCAATCAACTTGACTGATATGAACAAAGGTTGCAAAACGCAGTTTTCGACATTGAATTCTTGTATATTCTGAGTGATTGTTTGATATTTATATTCTAAATTACGAACTTGTTGCTCATCTCAATATGGACGTTAGTGAGTTAACCGCATAACATAGACCAACGTTTTCTGCATAAAAAAAGAAAAACTCGGAGAAATGCAAAATTTAATTAAATTAAGAACTTCAAAACTTTCGGTTTCTTCACAAAAACCATCATTCTAACGCTAATGATTGTCGATGCTGTTATGAGTAATATCCAATGACGTCTTGACAAATAAGAGATACACCTCCTTGACTCAATAACCAATAGTAATTAGCACAAACAAAAAAAAATAACAAGAATCGTGGATTGAAAATTGGTGGAAAAAAACCCACCTGTCCAGATCAATATTGATTTTTTCACATACAGAGTGAAGGCACATGAACTCCACATTGATATCTGGGACTTTGTTCTTTTGCCTCCTCTCCATTGTGCCTGATTAAAGGCTTAAATTGGCATCATGGATGAAACTGAACTAACCAGTAAGCTTAGCAGACGTGTTTTTCTGTAGAGGCGAAAAGGCCTGAACGAAAAATTCCACCAGGTATGCTTGGGGTAATTTAAAATGTAAACAGTTATCTGATAATTATTAGCACTTGTTACGATCCCGAATTAGACAAATACAGGGAGTCAGTATCAGGCCGAGGTTGCACGAGCAAGTAATGCAAAGATAATGAGCTGTATGTAATTTTCTTCCTTACAGCGCGATTAGAGTTTGTTTGGCTTTTCTACACAAATAACGAAAAGTGTTGTGACATCAAAGCGAGCTGACCTATGGAGAATTCTTTTAGCGATGTGATTCAGTAAGTTGTTGCGTATGTAGGAAAAACACTAACGAAAAAAATTTGGTAGATAACACGTTATTATTAAAATCCCATTAGGCAACTTCTCCGGAATGGACAGTTAGATGCACTTTATCTAACTCATTTTTATCATTGTTTCGCTATCAATTCATTTTTTTAATTGCATGCGTATATGAGCATTGGATGGACAGATAAGTTGATTTGGAGCGAACTTTAAAAAAGTTGCACAGAGTGTGAAAAATGAGCACTTTCTCAATTGAGTCAGAGATTTATCCTCATTAATAGAATTTGTCAAGACGGCGTTCCTATTGTATTAAATATTTTGTAAAGCCGAAAACACTGCCGGAAGTGTTTCAGACGCATTGATAGAAATTTTAGACATAAAACCGGCGGTCTCAGAGCACTAATAAATCCGTATAGAAGTTTTCATAAAATTTCGCAAGCTTCAAT